GGATCAAAACGAGAGAAGCAACCCATAGATACTACGCTGTAGTTCTGGTGCTGTTTTCTCCATCTAAATCTGTTTAATAGTTTACCCTCTGCCTTGGTACCTCTATGGTCATACAGAGTCCTGAAAAATGAGGGCGGATGTCAATGAGAACTGAACTGTCTGCTGTAGTTGGAAGATCTTTCCCATAGATGAGCTTCTGGCTCTGTGCATTTCAAACTTTGTTTCTTGTCTACTACCCACATACTTCCAGTGCTGGGCACTTTAGGACACGTTCATATCCTCTGGCCTTGCACCTTTATGAAACAACACTGGGTGAGTCAGCACAGTGGGTGGTAGGAACATTCCTGAAAACCCATATCTACCCTGGGACATCAAGCAATAACTCAACTGTACGTGGAAATGATCACAAGTCTCATTAACATGTCCCGTGAAGCTTCAAACTGAATATATCCCAACTTAATTTCTTTTTATCCAGATCCCCCAAAATGCCCAGGGCAACTCCAGTACCACCTGCTATGAGACAAAGTATGATGGAGAAGAAATGGTGGTGGAAAGAGACAGCGGTTTTAACCTGTTGCTGCTGAAATAGCTTACTAATGCAAAATAAAAACAAAACCAAATGACCATGTGGGCACATTATTAGGATCCCTCCTAGAGTTCTAGAAAGGCCTGTGTGCCCTTAGAAAGTGTCCTGAAGTTTGGGCTTCTTTAGCTTTATGGTAGACCTATCTCTGTGCATTCCTTTTAAGAGATGTGCCTGTGGCTCACACATACCCTTTGGGTTGCCTTGAGTGCTGCCTGACAACTTGAGAGCAATGTATTTTTTTAAATAAATAATGTTTAATTTGTTTTAAAATTGTAGGCAATCCTTGCTGTTGTTAAAAGCAAAAAAGAACAAAAAGCGCAAAAATACACATGTACTATAATTCTGCCATGTGGGGATTTGGGTGAATTTTCTTTTGGATATTCTCTTTTCATTGATACTTTTATATTCCTTATCATCAAAAAGGGGACAACTTCAAAACGTTATTTTGAAGATTAGATTTATGGTGAGCTTTCTCCTCTATCATTAAATATCCTTATAAAAAGATGATTAAAAAAATAACTAATATTTTTAAATTCCCCATTATTGGGTATTTAAGTCACTATTGAACATTTAGGTTATTTTATTATAAATAAGATATGGTGAGCATCTTTCTACATATATCTTTATGTGCTTTTTCTTATTACACACGTAATACATTTCTAGGAGATATTCCAAAGTGAAATGACTGAGTCACAAGATATGAAAAATTTAGAGAATTTTATACATACAGATACGTTGCTCTTTAGAAAGTCTGTATGAATTTATACTTTTGAAAGAAATGTGTGAGAATGTTTTCCTAAACCCTTGCCAGAAATTTATACTATTATTTAAAAAAAATCTTTGGAATGGTATCTCATGGTTTTAATGCTTATTTCTCTGTTGTGATGCTGAACATTTCTTATATGCATTTGGGCTTTGTGGATCTTCTGTAAATTGTCAGTTCCTGTCTTTAGGCAAGAATTTTTTTCTAATTAGACATTTTTAAATTAAGGCAATATATTTTTTAAACTGCACAGAGCCTTTTATTCTTATTTTCATTATTATGTGTTTCCCTGTCTGCTCTTTCGCTGGCTTTTCTTCTTTTCCCTAAATGGAGGAGTGGCCCACAGAGCTGCCCTTGACCCCTATTTTTTCCTTATCTATTAGACTGAGTCATATGAAACTGCAGTTTTTAGAAGGCAAAAAAATGGTAAAATACCAGCAATTTTATATGGCTACACCTGATCTGTTTCTCTTGATAACCTGATTAAATCTTCCTCCCTCCCCCCCGTCTACCATTCTGTCTGTCCATTTGTTCATCCTCCCAACAAATATTTATTAAAAGCCAACTGCAGCACGTCACCACTCTAAGGAGGACTCCCCAACCATCGTTAGCTTTGACCTCTCTTCTGAGCTCCAGTGTCCGTTTTTTGAGTTGGCAAGTCAGCCCCACACTGGCTCTGTAATATTACTCACATCTTCTCTGTTTCTCTTCTGTCCACCTCAGTTCAGATTTTCATTACTTCATGTGTGTTTGTAGTCTGTTTGGGCTATCATAACAAAAATACTATAAACTGAGTGGCTTATAAACAACAAACATTTATTTCTCATAATAAATACAGAGGCTGGAGGTCCAAGAGCATATGGTGCCAGCAGATTCAGTGTGTGTTGAGAGCCCGCTTCCTCATAGATGGTGCCTCCTCACTGTGTCCTCACATGGTGGAAGGGGCAAGGGGGCTCTCTAGGGACTCTTTTATAAGAGCACTAATCCCATCTGTGGCTTGCCTTCATGAAGGCTCACCTTCACGACCTAAGCATCTCCTTAAAGGCCCCACCTCCCAGTCTCACCACATTGCAGGCTAGGATTTCAACAAATGAACTTGGGGGAAGATATAAACTCTCAGACAATAGCAATATGTAATGTTTTCTCTCCCACAATATTCTTTACCTCCTCTTACCTTCACACTACATTTATTTAGATTCAAAGCTTTTCCCTCTTTCAAGGGTCATTTTAAATGTAATACTTTTACCGATCACTGCCTTCTCCCCATCCTTCACTACCGGCTAGAAATTTCACCGTTCCAATGGCCTTTTATATGCACATCTTTTCTGGAACTTTCTCCTCCTACCATCTGGTTATTTCTGTACTTTCTTTTATATTGAGATATCATTTACATATAGTAAATGTAAAAATTTTAATTGTACAACTTGATGCATTTTTACATATGCATATTCCTTTGCAACAACCACTCAGATCAAGACACAGAAAATTTCCGTCACCTCAGAAAGTTTCCTTATGCTCCTTCCCAGTTAATAACTGCTGTCAGCTACCAAAGGTAATTAATGACTGTCCTGATTTCTATCACCATAGATTAGTTTTCATGTTTTTGAATTTCAAATTAATGGCATTATACAATATGTACTCTTTTTGCATCTGGCTACTTTTGCTCAACATAATGCTTCTGAGTTTCATCCATGCTATATATCTATCAATAGTTTGTTCTTTTTTTTTTTTATTGCTGTGTAGAATTCCATTGTATGAATATGTAACAGTCAGTTTATACATTTTTCTGCTGGTGGAGACTTGGATTGTTTCCAGCTTTTTCACAATTATGAAAAAAATGCTATAAACATTCTTGAACAAATCCCTCTTTTTCTTGCGCACGTACCTAGGAATGGATTGCTAGGTTATAGGGTAGGCATATGTTTAACATTAATAGAAACCACCAAACAGTTTCCAAAGGAGTTGTGCCATTTTACATTCTCACCAGAAATATCTGAGAGTTGATCTACATTCTTGCTATCATTTGATGGTATACGTCTTTTTTATTCTATTGTATGTGTAGTGGTATCTCGTTGTGATTTTAATGAAGCATGTGGTTTTAATTCCATGATGAATGATGATTTTGAGCACATTTTCATATGCTTATTGTCTATTTAGATATTTTCTCTTTTAAAGTGCCTGTTCAAGTTTTTTGACTATTGTCTTAATTACTATAGTTTTATGGTAAGTCTTAAGTTTGGAACTTTAAACCTACCACCTTTGTTTTCCTTTTTCAAAATTGTCCTCGCTATTTTGGGTTCTTTGAATTCCCATATAAATTTCAGAATGAGTTTGTCAATTTCTACCAAAAAAAAAAATACCTGCTGGGATTTTAACTGGGACTTTGTTGAATGTAGAGGTAAATTTGGGAGAATTGGTGTCTTAACAATCCATACCTGTGGTATATCTCTCCATTTACTTAGGTTTTCTGTCATTGTCTCAGCAATGTTTTCAGTGTAGAATTCTTGCATATATCTTGTTAATTTTAGTCCTATGTATCTGATTTTTTTGTGTCCATATGAATGGTATTATTTTTAAAATATCTGTTTCTGATTGATTTATAGTATATAGAAATACAACTGGTTTTTATATACTAACTCTGTATCTTGTTTCCAACCCTTAATTCACATGTTAGTTGTTAATAGTTGTTTATAGATAAGTTCCTTTGAATTTTCTATGTACATAATAATGTCATCTGCTAGTAAAGAAGTTTTACTTCTTCCTTTCTAATATTTATGCCTTTTATTAATTTTATTTTCTTGACTTATTGTACAATTTCCGTACACTTCTTTCCCCCTTCACTAGACTGCAAGGCAAGATTTTTTGAGACAAAGCCCTACCACGGTGCTTTAAACATGGGAGATAATAAGAAAACTCTGATTGACTGTGTAAATTATGATGGGGAAAATAATGAATTAAAGCTGTAATTTACTCTTCTGTATGATCAGTGAACCACCAGCAGGAAAAAGGATGCTGGTTAAAACCCATTTTTGTGAGTTGGTATATCTTGATTTGCAAGGGTTGTTACAGGTGGCTTGAAGACTCCTGGGTCATTCTACCTGGTTTGTGGTTTTCAGTGCCTGGATACTTCTCTGATGTTGTGTTAGCGTTCATTGTGTTCTTTTATAAGACTCTTGCCAAGCATTTTGAAACTTCCAAAATAGCAGTGACTGCTTCTCCCCAGGATAGCATGGAGCAGATGGATTCCTGGACCTCACTGCCTTCAGTCCCAATTCCCCAAGCTTCTGTTGGTGTAGAAAAAAGAATCTGCATTTTCAATATTACTGGAGTGAAGCCTGGGAAATTTTCAGTTTTGAGCCTTTAAATTCCAACAAGCAATGTTATTTTTAGATTTCTAGTATGCACTTGGGGTTTGTGAGTGAAATTGTATTAAGGAGTGAGGATGAGGGCTCACGTAAGGGGGCGGTGGTCTTTTCCCAGTAAGCAGCCGCTCTTGCCTGTTCTGAAGATTCATGGGACTGGGAAGTGGCAGCCCGCGAGCTGCAGACACCCAGGGCAGGAGCAAAAAGCACTCACTGGACTTTGATACCCACTGTTGCATTTTGGGTGCAGTAGTCATCTTTCTTTTATAGGATCCATTGTCCATGTGGCTGGACCAGGATGTTTCTTGCATTGCGTGAGGAGTTTGTGTCTCAGGAGGTAATTCCATTGTTTCTTTGTTTCTTTGCAAACTGCAGATAGGCTGTTAGCTGTTTAAACAGTAGATTGGTAAAGTATTTAAGGCAGTTTTGACTCTAGGCCACAGGGACTGCTCTCTGTTCCCCTTTGGTTGACAAATTAGACACATCAGTAAATAACTAGCATATGAATGAGCTAATTATGTTTTTGCTGTTGAGTGAATAAGGATCACCTTGAAAAATGAAAGTAAGAGAAATAATAGAAAAGAGGAAAATCAAAGGATGCATACCCTTGTAAATTTGGATCAAGTAATATAAATGCAGGGTGATGACTTTTTTCCCTAAATACTTGAAATTTTCAACTTGTACGTATTTGGGCCTCTTAAAAATTTACGTGTTGACATTAAAACAGTGTTCTAAGTATTCATGTGATTATTATTAATAGAACACTTTTCTTTGCCCCCAGCAATGGGCCCCTTTGCCTGATCACCTAAATTCCTACTACCCAGAAATAATTACTGTTTGTAATCATTGGGTACATACAAAATAATTACAATTAATTTCCATATTTTGTTTTCATGCTATAACTGGTGTTTGTAAATCTGCTTTTGTCACTTAACAATCTGTGATATGGATATATTTTCATGTGGAGAAATACAGAGCTACATTATTTTAATAGTCACCCAGGATACATTTGTGTGTGTGTGCACGTGTCCACACACGTTATTAAATAATTTAACTGACAGGTTCTTTTTTGATAGATAGTTTTGTTTTAGATTTTTTTTAACTATTACAAGCAACATTAGAATGGGCATCGTCGTATATAAATCTTGAGCATTTATCTGATTAGTTTCTTAGGATAGATTTCTGGGAATGGGATTTTGTGGCTCAAACTGTGTATATTTTATCTTTTGATTTATTCTGCCAAACTCCCCTGAAGAAAATGTGAATTCATTTATATTCTCAGCAATATCAAATTGAGAATGTTTACCTCTACCATTACTAACACTATTTATTGTAAATCTTGACTCGCTTATATTTTTGAATTCTAGTATATTTGTCTCTTCATGGGGATTGTAAACTAAATTAGTCAGGATCTAGTCAGAAAACCCAAGACCACACTGGGTAATTCAGATAGCAGGGATATCATACGAGGAATTGGTTCCACACTTGTTGGAAATCTGAAAGAGCCAAAGGAAATGCTGAAGTCAGCCAGAGAAGTAGTAGGAAAGGGGTGGAATGAAGAAAACCAGGAGCCCTGGGGAGGCGCCTGGCAGGGCAGGGCTGGGCCTGGGGTGGTGTGCAGCCTGGCTGCTGACGGACTGCGGACAGACGGGTACTCTGACTGCCGGGTGGGTGTGGCCCGGCTGCCAGCACATCTGAGGGGGGATGGGGGTGCTTGGTGTGGGGAGGGTAGAGAAGAGCTGGGGACCGAAACCAGCCTGTGCTCTTGTTGGCATGATCCTGGCAGAAACTAGCCACCAGAAAGAAGTCCCTTTTCCCTCCTCTTACCTTGGGTTGGCATAGCCATAGAGGATGCCAGCTGACAAGGGAGTAAATGAAACACATGTTGCAGTCCCAGCCTCAGCATCACAGAGCAGAAAAGAGAATGCTGGCCTTGGAGCTAAGAGGCGAGGGGTAAAGAACCAGTTGTATTTGTTTGCTTGGGCTGCCATAACAAAGTACCACCGGATTTTCTAACTCCGGTGGACTGAGGTCATCTCAACAAAGTACCATGAACGGGGGGACTTCAAACAACAGAAATTAATGTCTCACAGTTCTGGACCCTAGAAATCAGAGATTAAGGTGCTACCCTTCTAAAAGGACACCAGTCATATTGGATTAGGGGCCCATCCTATTCTAGTGTGATCTCATCCTAATTGAATTACATCTGCAATGATTCTATTTAATAAGATCACTTTATGAGATGCTGGGCCATTAGGACTTCACCATAGGAACTTTTGGGGCACACAATTCAACCCATAACACCAGTACATAAACTTCCTTAGGACAGGGCCCTTGTAGCCCTAAAATGCTATATTGACTCCTTTGTATTCTTCAAGAATACAAAGGCACAAAGAATGTGCCTAATAATTATTAAATAAATGAATAAATGCTAAATTAAATGATGCACATTCATCTTCGAGCTGTTAAGTCTAAAGTCATGTACATTTTAAATTGAAATTATAAAGAAAATCCATCAGAGTTTTAAATGTCAGATGTTCTTAAATTTTATGAACAGTTAAATGTCAAATGCATCCAGAGGATCCTGATGGTTACAAAACTTAATCCTAAATTTAACATAAGAGTATAATAAGTTTGAGTTATTTCATCTCTATCCGTAATGTCAAGAGAATCGCTTATCCTGTAAGAAAAAAAGATTTTCTAACTCCCGCGGACTGAGGTCATCTCAAGTGGGTGGAGGCTACTTGGTCAACAAATTAAGACCACAACATTGTTGTTTTTTGGTTAAGATTTGAGTCTGGGCCATAAGACCTATCTTTATTTTTTTTAGAATTCCTTCTGGCGATCTAGGCAAATGTGATTTAGCGTGCTCTGGTCACCTGCTAGCTTCCACAGCATTCAGAAGGCTTCGTTGGGCATTTACAACAAAAAATGGAGTTGTCGATGGCTGAACTGCTGAACTGCTAGGAGGTTTTTTTTTTTTTCCCCCCACAGCCATGAATCCCAATGTAGGCTTCCTCAGAATGTTGATTTCATGAATTGGACTTTTCTTTTTCCCAGCCTCAATCAAAGAATGATATTTTCCAAATGTTAAAGAAAGAGGTTAACTTAATGAATGGAATTAAATTAGGTGACTACTGTTGCTTCTCCTGGCAGCACTAGCAGATGTCAAAATGAATGAACAAGAAGTCGCAACATTTTAAAACATTAATATGCAAAAGCAGATGATCTTGCTTAGTTCAACAGCTCATTTTTGTGGGCTTGTGTGCTTCCTGCTATAATTTCATATCACACGAATGCATATTATGCTAGTAACTTGTACCTAATGTATGGGGTAGAATTCCATTAAGTTCTGCAAAGTGTGTAGAACATTGTGGCCTTTGAGCAAGCTAGATAAACTGTGGCTCCTACCCTCAGGGAACTTACCAAGGAGGGGGGAGTTAGGAGTTTGTTTAAAATGCCTGTGCACAAAGTCAAACCTATGATGGAGGAAGCTAGTGGTCAAGGTCCTGGCTCCTGTGGTTTGTTGTGAAACCGAGAAACTTACCCCTGACTGTTGCCCTTCCTCCTTCATCTCTTTCCTTTTGTGATACTTCTTCTGAACTCAGAATGGGAGGGAGGCATTCTGGGGGAGAGATGAAGTCTCTAGCCTTGAAACCCTTTCGGTTCAGGGATGGAGATAAACCAGTATTCCTACTCAGTATGCTGAGTGTGCTGGAGCAGAAGTAAACAAGCTCCGGGGGAGACCAGGGGCTCTGGGAGGGCCAGGAGTCCTGATCTGTTTGTTTTCTTGGGTCCTCGCAAGGGGCATGGAACCCAGTCAATATTTGTTTGCTGAAGGGGGCAACGCTGTTTGTCCTGGGAGTGTTCAGAGAAGGAAGTTACATTTGAACTGGGTGTGGAAGGACAAGGAGGAGAAGATAATGGTGTAAGAAAGGAATCCCTTTATCCGAATCTTTTGCCCTAAACCCCCTTCTAGAGATACCACTAAAATTTGAGTTATGGCCATGGGTGTGACATGGCCCTTCGGTCTGTAGGGTGTCTCTTGGGTAAACTTCTTTCCCTCAGATCTCAGCACAGGGCTGACTCAGCCAGTTGTCAGGAGCCACGGGCAGGGAGTGTAGGAAACTGGACTCCAGTGCCAGCTCCATCACTAACTTTGAGACCTTGAACAAGCCATTTAACCTTTATGAATAATAAGCTAAGTGATATGGGTAATGCACTAAAATGTATGCAACACCATATAGTTATCAAGCATTATTGTAAGTCAGGAGGTTCATCTTACCTTAAAACTGACTTTGTGTACATGGATTACATGTATACCTTTCAGGAGATGGACATCCAAATGAGGGAGCAGACTCATGATCTGAGGTTAGGTGGGGGTGGTGAGTGATTTGGGGTTGATTTGTAAGGGTTCATGGATCTGTTTTAGTTTATTACTAATGGAGTGCTGAGGGTGGACGGCTGCCATCACAGGGGACAGGCTGCACCAAGAGTGGAGGTTCAGAGCAGAGAGAATCCTATGGAGCGAGTGAAAATTCATTCTTTAATTACCCATCGCGTTCCTACTATGTGTCAGCAGGGATCAAGACAGACATGGTCTCTTCCCTTTTGAAATTTTCTGTCAAGGAAAACAGACAATGAACAAATAATGACACAATGAATGAATTATATTTATTATAATAAGCGGGAGGGAGGAAAAGAACAGTGTGCAATGGAAGCATGGTATAGAGACCTCCCCAGATGTGTGTTGAGAGGGCAGGGAACTGAGACGGATGAAAGAATTGGCCAGTGGGAGAATGGTCACGGGAGAGAAGTCAGTGCAGCATGAGCCTCATATGTAAAGCTTGAGATGACCAGAAAATGGGTACCTTCCAGAAACCTGAGAAAGACTGGGACACAACATGATGAAGCTAGAAGAGGGTGGGGCAGCATAGGCTTGGCAAATGATATTGGACTTTGTCCTTGGAGCCCTGGCAACCTTGGGTGTGGTTGGGGTTGAACAATTTTGGCCTCTATTAGGTAAGTGGAGATGAAGAGAAGTGGGCAGATGTTAAAGGAATTTCAGAGGAAGAATTGTTTAAATTGGGGATTGATTTTATGTAAATGGGAATGAAAGAGGGGAAATATCTAGGTTGACTGCAGGTTTCTGGGTGGATAGTGAGGCTACTGATGAGAACCATCTGGAGGAGGTACAGGCCTCGTGGGGGAAGATAATGGCCTCAGTTTTGGATGTTATAAATACGTGTTGTGAGACGTTCAAGTGGAGATGTCGATCTGGAAATCTGGATTTGGCTTCAGGATGGGGGTCTAGTCGGATTGTGGACTTACGTGTCT